GGTGTCGTGTAGCTATTACCATACTGTGCTGGCCTGTGAGGACGGAAATCTGCAGAATCTGTACACTTTTGGACGCAACGACTACGGCCAATTGGGTCACAATGACTCCATTGATCGTAAAATTCCTCAATTCGTCGAAGCTTTGAGTGACCAACAAATCGTTTCGGTCGCATGTGGACAATACCACACGATGGTGGTCACAGCTAGTGGTAAAGCCTTCGCTTTTGGGAAAAATGATTACGGTCAATTGGGTATTGACACTATGGAGAACCAACTCGCTCCTGTACAGGTACGAGGCGGCTTGGAACGCCAAGAATGTCTGGAGATTCGATGCGGGTATTACCATACGATAGCTCTCTGTAGTGGGGCGCATTTGTTCGCCTTTGGGCGGAATGACTACGGCCAACTGGGTCTGGGTCGCTCGAATGCGAGCTCGACGAGTAATCTCCAGCTTCAGCAGCAGAGATTCTCGAATGCGAGGTTAATTGACGAGTTAGAAGGGAAAGATATCGTCCGTATAGCATGTGGATGTTACCATACAATCGCTGTCTCGGATAACGGCGTTATGTACGTTTTCGGGCGGTACAGGGGATACGACTGAACGGGTGTACCCATTTCCTATTGACGATTTTGTGGGGAAGAGAGTCGCGTTGGTTGCTGCCGGTTTTTACCACACTGTAGTCCTTACGGGAGGGAAAGAGGACGACAAGAACGAGCAAGATTCGGGAAATGACAAGGAAGAGGTGAGTGCTTCAAGCGGGATCACACATTCGACCATCCTGTCTTCTGCGACCGTCCAGCTACTACTCGACCCGGAAATGCCTGGGTTTAATGACATGGAGACTGCTGTTGAAGTGCCAGCAATGGAGGATTCTCGAGATGAAGACAGAGGAAATTCGAGTTCCACGGACTCAACAGATGCCCTGTCAGTGGCTGTTGTGATACTCGCCCAACTCGATCGATTATGTCAGCCTTTTACCCCCAAAGCAGGAAGTTACCCCATGTTACAGCATCCGTCATTTAGTGCCATTGACACACTAACGAGGTCAAATTGTTCGTTCGATGCAAGCTTGACTTTCGACGGAACATTTGAGACGTTTGCAATTCATAATTGCAGCGCTACGTTTGAAAGTCTCGCGGTTTTATTGAAACATCTCAGTACGAAGAAGATGGAGACAAACGCTCAGCTAGCGGCGTGTTTCTCTTCTCCAAGACTTCAGATGTACATGATCCTGGCAACTCTGCGCATCCTCCAAGCGAATCTGTCGCAAATGTTACGATCCGGCCTGGCCAAGACAGTCATCTTAGTCTCTTCAGACGCCACGTCACGTAACACTGAGCTGGAGCGTATGCGCGTAGCAATTCTTCAAGTTCGTGACGTGTTACTATCGCTCGTTGACCTCAAAAGTCGACGGAATGTTTGTCACATTCTTGAAAATTCACCAAATGAAGGCGAACATGTCGGTAGAATTGCGGAAGACGCTGTGGCCACATTGATGCAGGGATTTGAGCTCTTCTTCCCGTGTCAATGTCTTCAGCGTCAGTTCTGTATGCACACGATGCACGAGCTCGCAAGAGACAACCCGGAACATTCGTGTGGCCTGCTTTGTCGACGTGATCTGTGGCTTATTGATAAGTTACCGAAGTCGAAATCGCTGCTACTTGAGCCGCTTTTAAGGAGACTAACGGAAGATTCGCTGATCGTCCGGTTTTTACCTTTGATATCTGCTGTTCCGCAAGAGAATGAAGACGTTAGAACGTCGATAATAACTGAAGTGTATCAAGTTCTTCTCGAACGTATCGCTGCCGATTTCTCAAGACGGTTAGGAGACGTAGTAGCTGACGTTAACCCACGACAAGAAGGCACGTTAAGAGCGTTCTTTAACACCCTCGCTGGCCTGCAGAAACATCTCTCTAGTTGGGCTGCAAGCACTCCGGAGTGGACTTTAAAAGAGGACCCAAAGGCACAACTCGTTGCTGGTATTGAAGAGCGTGTAGCTGCTGTGGTTGATCGAGTATTTCGTGTGGATGAACACGATTTGGATCGTGTTCCGCGGTCCTGGCGTTGCTTCATTGAGTTCGTAGTCGCGGCTTTAGGACAGTGCTGCGAAGTGCTAGGCCAGGTATGTTCCATGGAGACGATGCCTAGTCCAACGAATGGGTACGCAAGCTTCGAATGTGGGGATGAGTCCTTACGCGGGAAGGTATTGGAGACTATGGAACATTCGATTGTTGGCCAATTTTTACCACTACTAGTGGTAAGTTTGTTTGAGTTTAGTAACAATTCTCTGTTCGCGGCAACTTTGTTGCCGAGCTTGAAGAACTTACTGAGGCTGTTAGATGGGCTTAATCAGCAAGATAGCGACGCGCAACAAGCCGAGAAAGATTTTGTGGAAACGATGGGCTCTTCTTTACATTCTCGATCGTCAGAGAAAGAAAGTTACGGCACTGGTAACTTTCGACGTAAGAGCGAAAGTAAATTACTTACGGAGGGTCAAACGGCAAGAAAAGGAGTGTCAGCGTCCGATGCGATGACGATGCCGTGGCTCTACCGACTGGAAAAAGAGCTGGCTGTACTGACAGCTGAGATGGCAGTGACGCTAGTGAGTGGAGACCCGTATTTTACTTACCAGGGCGACCACGGTACCACGAAACTTTCAGCTCGTTGGCTAACGAGCTCGTTACTCAGAGGTGGCTTGAACGCCAACTACCTGACGCAAAACATCACACAAACGGACCCACAGAGTTCGCAACAGGGTCGAACGGTTAAACACACGCCGTTCCCAGTACTACCAGCACCTCTGGGACTTAATACTCCACCGTTCTCGTTAATACTCCCTCCAGCGTCGGAAAACGACGATATTACCCCAGACTGACAACAACCTACGGATATAAACTACGGAGAGATATTTCGACCTGCTTCCGCTCACAAATTCCTGATTTTGCTTCAACAAGGAACAAATTCCGAGACCCAAAACGAAGTGAAGTTGTGTGACTGGGTGCGAGATAGCTACGCGAAGAAAGACCCGTCATATCGAATGATCTTGCGACAGTCTCAACTCTCCAAGGCTTCGACGCACTCAGTAAATGACACGCAGATAGAGGCGGCGTGCTTCGCAGCACTGCTTCATCACAATATGCTCGGCACTCAGGCGTATCACTTCGCTTTGGATTTTAGAAATACGACGCAGAATCGCTCTCCCCCTCGAAGTTTCATGCGTTTGTGGCAGTTTGTAGCTCAGCTGCGACGACGTGTGGCCACTAAGAAGACGGAGATCAAGAATCTTCCCCCAAAAGACTCGGATTTAAGCGCTTTGGATCGCATTTCCGCTCTTCAACAAACGATTCTGGATCGATGTAACCTTCTGCTATTTCTAAATGTCCACGAAGAGCAAGAACACAGGAATCTTCAGCTAGATGCCGGCTACATCGCACCATATGATCCAGCGTTCCTCGTCTCTGCCAGTTCGACTTTTAGCGTCTCTTCTTCATCCGTTAAACGACATCTTCACGCTACATACACCGACGGGAAATCGCCCTTTCTGGTCGCGTTCCCAACGTCCAAATGGAGACGAATACGGACAATTGTTCACACGATTATTCGCTGGAAATCTGCTGCTACAGATCTCCAAACGAACCGACAAAATCATGTTTCTCAGGAAGTGCTGGCCTATATTTTGTCGGACGAGCGCGTGTCTTCTACGGACGCAATCCGAACGCTACTGGTCGATCCGTGTCGACGTGTTAGTTGCTCGATTCGAGGCCTTGAAACACTGTGGGAACTCCTCACTATGGTCTCGTTTGACTCGATCCAAACCGACGTTGTTTATCAGATCTCACAGGTTTTTGTGTTCCAATCGTCGACTCCACTGCTCGCATCCCACAACGCTGGGTACTTCTACTCGAGTCTAAAGAATGAAACCTTTTACGAGTTTATCGGACAGTTAACTGACATGATAACCGACAAGGCTGCAAAGCTGATAAACTCGGGAGACCCGGACGCTACCAGTTCGTTCTGGATCGTAATTATGCTGCTGAGTGTGTGGGGGATTCACTTCAATGAGGAGCAATTCGAATTTGTGAGTGACATTGGAATTCTCGGCGTTATTCAGGAAATGATGCAGCAGTTTTCGAATAAAAATTGTGACGCGAACGGAGGACCAAATCCTGCTCAATTCATCGTAAAAAGACAGCTCTCGCGACTAAAAGAGACGTTGTGGGTTCTGTTCAGGTATATCTGCGCTCACTTCGCAGTACAAAACGCATCAAGCGGAGATATCTACGTCCCCACGTTCCCTGTATTGTCGGGTGTATCACGGTTATTATATAGTGAAGCCATCTCGATCTCGAATCGATTTTTGCCTCTACAACTCGCTGTGGATAACGCGAAGCCGATCGAATCAAATCTCACAGTTCCTGTGGCGGTCCGTAGGAGTTTTGAGGTCATTACGTCGCCGCAACGATTCTCCGCTCAGAGTAAAGGAGTGACGTGCAGCTACGATGACATGATCTCTGCTTCCGAGACGACTACAGCTATGTCTCCGTTACTTAAACCGAATGAGTTTAGTGTCACGACGTGGCTTTTTGTTAACAGCCAGTCGGGTACACGAACGGATAATGATCTTTTTGACGTGTCTGATACCCCGCAAGACCGTCAATTGATATTTATTCGAGGTGCTGCACGTGAGATATCGCTGTACTTACTACTCCTACCTGAAAGCTCTGGTAATTGGCAACTAGAAGTGGGCATTCTCATGGATATAGACCGAGAAGGAGACGCTGGAGAGCTGCCTATTAAGGGCCGAATATGGGAGAGAATGATGTCGAAACAAGGCGTAGCAAGCGGGAAATGGGTCCACGTGGCGATAGTGTTAGAAGCCATGAAATTACGCCTCTATTTGAACGGTATTCTTGACTGTCAACGCTCGTTAGTAGCGCAAAGTACTGCTATATGGGCGGCTGGGAACGTGGATCTTCCGCTTCATTTCGGAAGATTCCCAATGACGCAAACTACGTCCTCCGTCTCTTCGGCTATTGGCTTTCTGTCACGCTCACTTGGGATCATGAAAGGCGTTCATTGGGACTCCGGAATGAATATTCCGGATCACAAATCAGGCGCGTTCCGGTGTTTCGACGGCTGGTTGAGCCACTTCCGCTTCCACAATCGCTCGTTGTCTCCCATCCACGTTCGCATCGTTTACGACGAGAAGAAAACTCCTTCTGGACTTTGTGAACGGGACGATGACCATTCGAAACTCGTGGAGTTGCACGCTTTACTCATCCTACTCAGCACTTCATCTGAAGGAATAATTCACTTCCGTTCCCAATTTTACGATTGGATGAAGCTCATTTGGGGTACGTTTCTCGGTACCAACTCAGCAGTGGTACAGTAGTCCGCGTTACGTGTCTTGTGTGCTCTACTACCTCTTCAACACCCCGTGGATGCTTCGAAAGTGCTGGTACAAGAGACGCCAGAGGCCCTTGGATTCTACACATTGGAGGATGTTTTCGTCCAGCAAGTGCTCCGAATGATCGGATTCTGCTTGAACAAATGTCCACAAAGGACTTTAGAAGCCAGCGAGGCTGCTGTGGTGCCATGGACACTGATGTTGGCTCGTGGAATTCATGGTAATCATTTTTCTCTTGAGGTTCGAGACGCCGAGCTACAACTCGATCTAGAAAATGATGTCGAGAGGCGGTACCAGTCGTCGAAGCGGCAGAGTCTGATGCTGGCGAATGAACTAAACCAGCTTCTACAGCGGCTTTTCAGAAATTCGAACGGTACGTGGCGCCAAAGTATTATTCGAGTGAGTTCGAATATTACCCGGAATTTTTCGAATTCTCGAGACGTCGAGCCTGAAATTTGTGGTATTCAGTTTGGAAAGCACGTACTTTGTCTCTCTACCGTCAAGTGTGTGGAATCTGTAGGCTGCTTGTACTTCATTAGTGGAGGCTTCGAGTTTTTAAGACCAGGGATCACTGTAGAAGTGCGAGGATCGAGAGATATCGCCCAGGTTCTGTCGCTCGAGTATCATGCATCCAACTCAGCTCAAAATTTCCCCGACACCCCGTCCGATACAAGATACCCGCCACAAATTGACACCCTAGCTCACATCCGGATGGATAATAACCCCAACATTCTCAAACGTACCGACGGACTACAGAATCGCAACGAAAAATCCTGGTTCGAGAAAGTTTTTGGCTCGAATGTCGATTTTCCAGATACTAGTTCACTTTACTCGAAGTTGAATATTGACGAGCTAATGCCGGTTATAATATCCAATGCGAATGACGGCGCGTATTCGAATATAATCTACGACGTCGCGTGGGATAAATGTGACCATAAAGCAGCTAACGGATTGGTGGAAAAGGCAGCAGAGGTGATTCCTGCTGTCTACCTCGAATCTGACGGGGATTTGATCTCCTTGAATATTGGATGCTCGTTACTGAAGATTCTAGTACAAATTGCTGGAACGGACTCTGGAGTTGACGAATTACTAGCTAAGCCAGCGTTGATTGAAACAATTACAGAGATAGCATCCCGTCCGGATAGCAATCCGAAGCATGACACACTTTACAGCGTGGAGAAACGAGTGAGTTCTTTACGTCGAGAAGTGTACACTGCGCTGGTTGATCTCGGGGAGGAAGGAGAGGCGGAATTGGCGAGTGCATTCGACGGTAAACGCGAGGTTTCATCCGCTCAAAGTGCCTCTTTTAATGACGAGATGACGACAGGGCGTCGAAGCTTTTTACTAACGCCGACCGAAGTAATGCGTTTAAATGACGGTAATTTATCGGATGGAGACGAACCGGTAAATGAGAACTGGGATCCCACTCAAGGTGACGAGCAAGACGACGACGAAGACGACGAGGAAGACGAGAGTTTAGACGATGGAGACAATGACGACGACGAAGACGACGCTGAAGAAAATAGAGCGGAGTTCGTGGAGGAGCTGATGCTGATGGGATTTCCGGAAGATTGGTGCGTGCTGGCGTTAAAGCAAACCGAGAACGATATCGTCAATGCGTCGGCTTGGATTGTGGACAATCTGGAATATCTGAGTAAGTTACAGTCCACATTGGATAAAGAACGCGATAAGGGACGAGATTCTCCTCATTTCGACGAAGAAGAGGACGACGTCGTGAATACTGACGATATACCGAGCGGTAGTACGCACGTTCCGTCATTAAGTGCGACTGTTAACACGACAAAGGACGCCGAGAACGATATGGATGTCCCTCATTTAAATGACAAAGAAATGGGGAGAAAATTGTTTGCGGAAATGTATTTTCCTTTCAGGCTTCCTGTCGAATACCAAGTCGCGTTTTATGAAATCATGGCGAGCTGACGCCATAGAAACGAAAGTGAAGAGAGAATTGAACCAACTTGACCTTCAAGATCTTGTCCGCCAGCTGCGAGAATTCGAGAACACGTTGTCAATCCTGTATGCTCGTCAGATTATGGCCACAGTGTTACATCAGACAAGGTCAGTACCGGTTTTGATACCGTTTAAACAGTGGTTCAAGCTGCTGGATTACGTGGGGATCAATTCGCAATTATTGTGCGAAATTCGTCGACACAGTTGCAAAAATTATCTATTGATGAAGTATTTTCAAAGTCGATTCGATATTTGATCCAGCACGACGCATCTTTCGTTGCGTCAGCGTTCGAATTCTGCCTTGAAGAACTGGAAACAGCAGCAGCTGGTAAAGCGTACGAAGCTGTTTTATGGACGCAACGGGAGCTCCATCGTCCAGATCAAATTGTGCTGGAAGAGCCAGGAATTGAACTTGTTATTTGGCTGCTAGACGCGCTACTAGCAGCTTCTACACACTCGTCATTGTGTCTTTCTGTTGATGCTGCGAAGATTATTTTACGCCGTCTACGACGTTGTCTTGGCACGACGAATTTGCCGCTGAAGTTTGTCATCCTTCGCACTATCAGCAGAGTATTGAGAGCCATAGAAAATGTCGACAAAGACATGGTAAACGAGGCACAACTGGTTGTCCAAGACTTCTTAACTGCAGCTGTTGTAAGACACAGTCGCGAGTTGAGTCAAGGTCGACTGTTATTCTCTCAGTATCTCCAGGGGTACGTGGAACTGCTGCACGTTCTACAGGGCGTTACTGGGTTTAACGTGGCCCCAACACCTGCCGCTCATATGGTCGCTAGTAGCAGTGGAGATGCGTTGGAATCGGAAGGTTGTTTGCTGCTGTTTGACCGCAAACGCACTCGCAGTAGCTTGTTATCCTTCGCAGACGACAACCTCAGTGTGTCGTACTCTGGGAATGAGGTATGGAAAGCTGCGTGTGCCGTCACGAGCTTCTCGACTGGCGTGCATTCATGGCTGGTGCGTATTGAAAAGTCTAGTTCTCCGTATCTCTTTGTAGGGGTCGCTACTCGACAAGCGAACTTGGATTCATTCCTTGGAGCGGACGATCAATCCTGGGGTTTTATTGGCGATAAAGCACTGTACTACCAGCGGAACCGCATACGAGCATACGGCGAGACATTCACGGAAGGAGATTGCATTGGGTTACGGCTGGATTGCGAGAAAGGCGAGCTTTCGTTTAGTAAAAATGGAGTGGATTTGGGTGTGGCGTTCGATAATATTGTGAGTTCAGTGTCCCCCGCTGTGGCCTTTTACTCGCGACATCAGAAGATCTCCTTCGTTAAGGATAGTTGTACCGGTGAGACTAATATACCTCCGACTGGAGAGCTAGAAGACGCGGGTGTGGAGGACTGTTTAATAGCCTGTGAGCTGATGGCCAACTGGGTGGATAAAAGACCCATGCGAGTGGAAATGGCTGCTGCTACGTTCGAAATGACGGCAGAATGGCTCGCCGGATCTATTAAACACGTTACCACGCGATCCGGGAAATCCCTCTGGGTGGATGTTACGCGAGGAACATGTGAAAAAGCTGGGTTTTATTGCGATGATAAAGTCCGCACACCTCGTGGGAATGGAGTTGTAATGGGCGTGGCAGGCGGACGGATCTGGGTGGAAGTCGACAATGAACCTGGAGCGTGGTTCTTCCATCCGTCCAAACTACGCTTAGTGGCGAGCGCAACAACACCCAGTTCCACTACTCCAGTTGACAACTTAAATATCCCACCAGACTCTTTAAATGACCCACATTTGGGTTCAAAAGTGGACATATCTTCGCCCTTTACTCTTTCTCGAGAAGAACTCGTTGAGTATGGGGAACATTATTTGTGGACTGTAGCAGTGGATCGGGAGCTTCTAAGTGTGATTAACGATTTCTGTGAGGTATCTCGCACTAGTCCGTGGAATCTGACACCCAATCAACTGCTCAATGTTGTCAAAGAGAAGACTGCGGTACTAGAGCTTTCGTCCTTTAGTAACGTACTTGCAATGCCTCAGCCTGACGAGATGATCGTCGCACGGTTCGCAATACTGCGCTTCTGCAACATGTACATCAGTCGCGCTTTACCCTTTTTCGACCTCTCATGGCACTACTTTTTACCGGATTCCAACTCGTTGCCGTGTCGACTAGTGTCACAATGTCGCGGTAGTCTCTTTGTCTGTGTAAAAAAAACACTTTGGACAGCGTTGATGGAAAAAACCGCTAATTCACCCAAAAAATCTGACGACGAGTACGATTATCCCGAAGATTTACCGCAGCTACACGTGAACCGGCTGAAGGCAGCAGCAGCAAAATGTCACGAAGGAACAGTCAGCAGTTTGTTCTCATCCCTCTTTGGCCAGTCGTTTGAAGAGCTTCATTTCTTACCTATTAAAACGCTACGTATGGTCTACTCCCACCCAATGGATGACGGTCAATTACGAAGCTTTAAAGTTAAGTTCGAGGGAGAAGGAGTGGATGACTATGGTGGTCCATATCGAGAGTTCTTTTCGCAATTCTTCGCCGAGTTACAGATGCTTAACGTACCCGAAGGCGAAGATAATGGGTCCACAAGTTCGGAGTATACTGCGAATGGAGGACCCAGTAGTACGTCGCTGAAAGTGGACCCCAATGTATCCGTATCAGCGTGTGTCTTGCCCTTCCTTCTGCCTAGTCCGAATTGGCGGAATGGCGTTGGAGCCAACCGTGAGAAATTCGTACTTAATGGAGCTCTTATCGAGCGTCAAATACATGATAAGAAGGTATCGTGTTTATCTGGAGAAAGCGCTGAAGAGAAACGACAACTTTATTGTGAAATGTTTTTCTTTCTCGGTCAGATGATCGGCATTTGTCTACGCACGCGTGTGTGCGTTCGCCTCGATCTGGCAATGTCAGTGTGGAAACAACTAGTGGCTGAAGACGACTCGAACCCGGAGAGTGCGCTAGCAACGCTCAAAGAGATCGATTTCGTCGCGTATTCATTATGGAAGACGTTGAAAGGTATTTTAGACGAGTTTAAACGTCAAAATTCAAAGCAGGAAGGGCTTGAAAAACGACTAGAAGCGATGGATTTGGTCTTTACGACTGTATTATCCGATGGACGTACAGTTGATATCTGTGAAGATGGCTCCAATACTGCGGTGACTTTGAAAAATCTGCAAGAATATATAGATTCTATGCTTCGAGCACGGATCCAAGAAACGCAAGAGGTGGTGAATATAGTAAAGCAGGGACTGCACTCCATTATGCCGGTGTCTGCATTGGCTCTTCTGACGTGGAATGAGCTTGAGAAACGCATGTGTGGCGTTGCGGAAGTGGACGTGAAGCTATTGCAGATTAATACCGAGTACGACGAAGATTTGTCGATGAACGACGAGTTTATTCAGAGATTTTGGCGCGTGCTGGAAAGTCTCGAAGCGGAGGATAAACGAGCCTTCCTGCGGTTTGTGTGGGCCCGGTCTCGTTTGCCTTTGGGCTCAGCACAGTTCCACCAGAAATTTAAGATCCAAGCGCTTGCGTCTTCGGGTAATGGAGACGCGAACGGCTCATCGTCAGGACCCCCTGGAGGCTGGATGGACTCGCAGATGCCGAAGTCGCATACGTGTTTCTTCGCACTCCAACTCCCACGATATTCCAGCGACGAAATCTGCCGCGAACGACTTTTGTATGCTGTGCGCAATTGCGTCGAAATGGATGGAGAATTCCGTCTTGCTGACACGGAAATGACAGGCTGGACGGGTATCAGTCCGACAGATCAGCTTCGAATTTGACCAGCCATTTGCCAAATAAAAGGCAGAACGTCCGGATCGAGGCCAAAGATATTGGCGGTATAACCAGTGTTTTAAAAAAATCTAAGCTTATAAATTGCTCGGAAAGCCTAATCGAATTGCTCTGTAGAAATGTTTTTTTTTAAAGTATTGCGCTTCCTCTTCGATGCTCCAAGTCTCACTATATATGCTCATCTTTTAATTAAATAGAGCTTGACTATGCTACTGTATTACACAATATTTTATCTTTGTCTGTGCACAATGCAGACGAATGTAAATGTGTAAGTGTACGTCTGTTTCGATACTGTACAACATTACACTGTAAATATCCAGAGAGCCACTTATTTTCTATAGTAGTAAAGCTGCGCTATTTAACATCTACTTCGAAGTATTTAAAATTAAGTGTAAAATCCAAATGAAATTCTTCATACCTCGAAGTATTACAATGAAATTGAACTTTGCAATACAGCTGGAGATAAGGAAAATTGACGATTAAGTCCCAAAGTACACGTACGAGGACTTGAATAGATCCATAATCGAACACTCGTTCCTATTTCTTTAGTGATTTGTGAGCTGTGGAATGCCGGATAAAAAGAAATTGAAAAATATTTGTTTGGGATAACCGTTTCTAAATTAGGCACTGGTTTTAGAGAATAACTAGGCAAACCAGTGGATTCTTCAGACAGAAAATATCTCCTTCCTTCGAGGGTTTGAACCCTGTAGTGGCTCTTGGAAACGAGACGTAATCCTGTTATTGTATTCATTACCGGTACAAACAGTCTGTCACGCTAGGTTGCAGGGTTTTGGTGTTAAATTGCGTAATATTAAGTTTTCGGCTAAAGCTGGCAACGTAGTAGTAAGTCAAATTTTTTGGGGCTTCTGAAACAGTTCTTAAAGCCACAATAATTACATACGATAACGGCAGACAAACCAACGTTGGGGGACCATGTATTATCACAGCTCAACAACTAACCGGATACTAGCAGGCCTAGCAACGTGCGTCGTTATTCAGTCATTCTTGTGAAGGTTGTTGGAGATGAAACCCGTTGTACTTGAGAGCGGAGCCGTCGTCTTCAGCAAAGTAGCTTCGCTACCTGCAAGCGAAAAATCGTTGTTCTTTGGCTTCCACAAGTATTTAATGGGCTCGACCGTTGTCTATATGCCCCGGTACTTGATTTCGAAATCTTGGGACCAGTGTTGAAATGTCGCCGTGACCTTCCACGGACGCCATCGATACAAGGACGACTGCTACGGCGGTGATGAATGCAAGAACGGTCATTGTTCGGCTTTTCGGCTAAACAGGAAGTGGTAGATCACAAACGTCAAATGATGCTTTGAAGCTCGAAGCGAGCGCTTGAACTTCATCGTGTCCCATCCCCACTCTTCAATCAAGCAGGTTTTCGATACCTACGTGTACAGTTTGGTTATTATCCTACTTGAGAGGGCCCTCAGGTAGTGCTTTGTACATGTCGGATCAGTTTAACTGACAATAAATATGTACAATGACAATTGCTTAATAATATAGCCATCTGCTCTCCAACATTATTCGAGCTGAGAATTATTATATTGACCTGAGTCAGGTCAGTATTGAAATCCCGGCAAGCATGTAAAGAAATCACACATTTGTCTGTTCACAATTTGACACCCCTCATTTGCATATAGAAAGTAAAAATACTCATTGCTTATGTGCTGAAGATGTTGACGCATCGAGCAAAGTACAGTATATTCAACAAAAGCTGCTCAGCAGGATTTATCGCATACGGGTGGCCGTAATTTATCGGAGAGCGTCAACATGGTAATGTTCATAGTTTGCGGGCACCCCACATATACCAAATCGTAAGCGGACCCTGTTCACTATGAGAATTACGATGTTAATAAATTACGGCCACCGTGTCTCACTACAGTTACGGACCAGCGTGGTACAACAGGTGTGTAATGAAAAAATCACCTCAACTTGGACGGAATCGTTGGAATTCGTCTCTGATTTCTGCAAGGGAAAACGCGCGTGACCCACAAAAAAGACTTCCACTTCATGACACGATGCTCCTACTCCCAAATCTCCTTGCGTCTGCCCGTCCTATTAGTCAACGAAGGCTGTCGCCATTCTTCGTCGCTATGCCCTGAAGGCGTCTTATCCTCTAAATCTGTATCGAAACTGGCCTCTGTCTTTTTCTCAACTGTAGCTGTCGCAATTGTACCAGCGTTTGGACTCGACGTGACCTCCCCGTAGCCGGTAACGTCCCCGATCAGACATTCCTCGGTGATCCTTGCTCCTTTGAAAATGGCACAAAGATCGCGCGGGTCCTGAAGCAAACGAGAAAACTCTTCGAGGAAGTCTAGTTCGAAGTCAAACGAGATAATGTTGTGCGTCTGCGTGTCAAAGACGAAGTCAAACTTGCCGACGCCTTTGAACACACGCCCCAACATCTTCGTCACAATGCGTGGATATTGTCGTAGTGCTTCAGGGAACATGACCTCCACAGTGTCTCGTGTTACGATGTGTTTGTAGCTGGCATAGGACGTGACGACCGTGCGTCCTTCCATCGAGAGGACTTGAGAGCGCAGGTAGTGAAATTCGAGGCCGGAGAGCGCCTTTGTGTATTGTTCCCACTGATGCAGCATCACGCCACGTCCGCTAAACCCACCGATACTCAGGTTCTCGTCCATAGTTTGCATAACATACTGAGTCGCATCAAGCGGGGTGCCTGGACGATAGCCGTTCTCAAATACACGGTGGTACTCTTGCACTGTCTTGACGTAGTAGCCATCCAACGCATCACGACGATTGAAAGTCCGTGCACTAAGTATTTGCTGGTATTCAGTCAGTCGTTGGATTTCCTGTCGAAGATCCATGACGTCCAGCTCCAAGTTATAGAGCTGCGAAGCCTGGAATCGCGCGTCCGCCATTTGAGCTTCTTGCGTCGATTGGTGGCTCTTCTCTCTGCGGCGAGTGCTGTGACGGCTGGTACTCGCGGTGCGAGAACAGGTCGAGATCGTACTGGAGTCACGTCGAAGGTATCGGCTATGGCATTGAACGGATGCATCGCTGCTTGGCGAGATGTCGTGTACCTTTGGCGAATTCTCGACTGATTGTTTTCTGTCGGAGGTCGGTTGAGTTGCCATTCGACTGTTAGCTTCGGGCGTTTTCTGTTTCGGTCGCTTACGTCCCATAGCCAGCATATGAAGTTGCGGCACGCAAATACCTAGGGGAAGTACAGAGCACACCTTTCGAATGAGGAGCACGAAATACTCTCTGGATTTAGTACTGAAATGGTTGCATCGTGATGGGCCCCGATTGTCAAGAGGATCAGCGCCACACACCAGTTAACCTACTGTCGCGAGGACACCTACGGTATGATAGGACGGGGAATTCAGGTCCAGCGGGTACAAGTGCAAATTTCACTACAAGGATCAAACATCTATATATCTCAGACAGCATTAAAAAGAATTGCTCGGGTTGGAAGTTGGGGCCTAAAGCACATGATTCGAGGCGCAACTTGAAAAAGTGCTGAATTCCTTTTGGTTAGCTCCAAACAATCAAAGCTAGAAGACGTGGTTGTGACATCCTCGTTCCATAATAAAAAGACTGGCTGGAGAACCAATTAGCTTGGGGGATTTGCGAACGCGACAAACCGGTAGCTTACTGCCACAAGTTGCAGGGTTTGAAGACCAGAACACCACGAGTGCTGTGCCAATCGACTGAACTCAGTCGGGCCTGGGTCCTCAGCCTTATCTTCTAGTTCGCGCGTGACCAGTCGGACAAAGATGTAACAGCGAAAGGTGGGCCCAGTGTCTGAACCGATTGCATTTTGCAAGCGGCGGACTCTACTTGTTTACGGGGGAATATAATAGCAATGTCCGCGTAAGGGGCAGGTGTAGAAGTTTATTTCCTACACAACCGGTGGGTTACCCATCGGGCTGTAAGCTTCACGCCACGAACAGAATATGCCACAGTGTCCACAGGGCGGCTATTCGCTCCACAAGGCTAGCGCCTGTCGCCAGAGACACGGAAAAACATCCTGCACGCATTTCCGGACCGATGGTATCAACATTCACGTCTCAGTAACGACACCAAATGTGGATCGGCGATTCATCGTTCCGGTTGAGGTTTGGACATGAAGCAAATCGATGGGTCAGGGGCCCGAAGAACCCTTAATAAAACTCTTTATTATGGAGAGCATCGTGGGCCAGTCTTTTCGGCGTTCGCAAATATCACACCGCACAACTCGTCAACCATACTGTTCAGTATGCTCCATGTATTGATTTTAATTATTAGCTGAACGATTTATAAAAAATGACCAAAATGGCTCAGATTGCCCTAAATCTGAGACGTCGTCCCAGAATCTACTCCACAGATAGCTGAGCTAAGGTGCCTTCCAGATTATGAACGAAGAGGGCACTCGGTGCTCCTACTTGATCTCGCCGTCATCGCGGCAACAAAGGACCAGCTCATTATTTTAATAGAGCTGATCTTGCCCCGTTACGTATTGAAACTGCGGACAAAGTTTCTCAAATATTTTGGCATTCCTAGGCGTACTACCGATGAACCGGGGCAATCTGCGCTACGCTAAAATTTCATGGAAACACCTACTGGTCACCATGAAGGCGTTTTCTGACTTTTTCTATGCCGAAAAGGAAAAATCGAGGTTTCCCTGAAAATGTACTGAGCTCGCAACTTGCGACTGTCAGTTTTACTGATGGATCACCAGCGCTCATTCTGAATCTGGCAAAGAGTCGCACGTGGCCATGAAGATTCACTGCGTTGTGTTGGCTGCCGCGTCGCTGTTGGCGGCGCTACCGACGAGTGCAAGCTCAGAGATCGCAGCTCCCATCCGGGTGGCGACTACCGAAAAGCGGATCTATCTTCGTCGATCTCTGTCGGATACGACGACTGGAGAAGAGGAAAATGGCATCAACAATAATGAGTCGAGCGCCTTAAATGAGGCAGAAGAAGGATTTGAGGAAGAAAAGAACCTGCAAACACAAGCCCCAACTACTGACACTGTACTCGAATCCGAAGAAGGGGTTTTTGATGAACCGGAAGAGAGCATTGAAACTACACCGACTAATACACAAGAAACTTCGGACGAGGTTGAAGAAGAAGAACTCGACGAGGAAAACGAGAACTTGACATCGACGTCGACGAGCTCGTCTAACGAGTCATCTGTTGATGTGGGTGACGCTGAAGAAGAAGACCAAAGCCCTCAAACCCCCGAAGTAATTACCACAACAACGGTCAATCTAGATGAGGTGGTTGATGAAGCTATGCGAGAAGAGAAAAGTACCGAAGCCCCGATAAATTTATCAACGACGACTGTTGCTGAAGCAAAGACGAAATCTGAAGGCAAGAGCGTGCAAACGTCGTCTAGTTGCTCACGGGCGGAGCCGGTCTCTTCTACCGAGGCACCAGTTGAGGTGCCTGACACTGAGAATGAAGAAGAATCTGAGGAAGATGAGCAAAACACTGAAAACCTCACGACGAATCTAAAAACTGAGACCCCGACGTTCGCTGAAGCCGAGGAACAAGCGTGCGGGACCGAAGACAAGAGCGTGCGAACCCCTTCGACTGATGATCAGACGACGGATTCAACTGAGGCTGAGGCTGAGGATGAAGAGGACAGTGAGTCAGAGGACTCTAGCGACGAAGGCTCAAGCGACGAA